GTTAAGTTCATTGGAGGGATAGGTGGTTAGAGCATGAAGACAGATGGAACCAGTTTCCTCATTGATAACACAACCGTGCAACATATGAAACCTGACACCAAAATCTTGGTATGGAGAGAGAGAGAAATCAAAGTTTGACGTGTTTCGCATTGTTGGGCGACTCGTTCATTCTCACTTTATAATCCACTTCTCACAAGCCGCATAGATCCCTTGTCACAACACATACTGTAAGAATTCATTACAAAGTCACGCTAGATGAACATCTGTATATTAACTCATTACCTCAGTCACTCCTCTGTCAGCACCACTGTCATAGCAGAGGGGTGAGTCGCAGGAGAGGGCGGCAGGCTCTCGCTTCAGTCTCCTCTGACTGAGGAGGGTTAATCACGTTATAGTAAGCACACTCTGATGTGGTCTGCTTTGATACGGCAGGCACTCTCTGTCTGTCTGTACATTTGCTCACTCCTAACACTCTTCTGAAAAAACAACCCTTTTCTACACACACACACACACACACACACACACGTACACACTCTGTCGTTCCAGTGAAGAGAGAGGAGGAGTGTGTGGAATGTTCTGTCCTGACATGTTGTGAGTAAATAGGCCTGATTGGTAAGCAGCAGCAGTGGATGGACAGACTGACAGACAGACAGGCTGCGTCCGAAATGGCACCCTATTCCCTACATAGCGCACTACTTTTTACCAGGGCCCAACGGGCTCTAGTCAAGAGTAGTGCACTATGTAGGGAATATGGTGCCATTTGGGACACCGCCAAAGAGATAGACAGTACAGCTGCACCTGGGAATCTTGGCCCCAAACGAAGCAGGCAGCACATTCATCATTTGTCATACCCCCACGCATGGGATGGGATGAACATACAACAGTAGCCTGGGTCTGGTCTGCATCCCCGTCCTTATAGTTCCACTGAAACGGTTCAAGTTTTGACTCCTCAGAATGGGAAATTGGCACCCAACACTGTGCTCTGAGGCAGACCTGGGTTCAAATAGTAATTTTTTTTCTCTTTCGAATACTCAAGTGACATACAGAATGGAAAATTACTTGTGGTTGAATATGAAAATCAGTGTATCCAAAATTATTTTACATTGATCAGAAATAAATGTTGTCCCGAAACACACATGCATGACAAGTATTCTTCCTCATTTGAACTTATTTTTTATGGGTTTCCAGACTGTTTTCCTCAGACATTCTCACAACGACACAGACATCTGTCAGTAACCAGACTCACACAGACTGACAGACAGACAGACCCCCACAAGTTGTCCAGCCTTAGATGTATCATGTATGTTTATACTTGGTCTTTTCACCCCCTGTTTATCTTATATCTCAATATACAGTTACAGAGAGAGCAACTGGTGCTCTGCCCAGTAGTGTGGTGTAAAGTGGTGCTGGTCCCGGTGGTCTGTAGTGGTGTAAAGTGGTGCTGATCCCGGTGTTCTGTAGTGGTATAAAGTGGTGCTGGTCCAGGTGGTCTGTAGTGTGGTTTAAAGTGGTGCTGGTGTCGTGGTCTGTAGTGGTGTAAAGTGCTGCTGGTCCCAGTGGTCTGTAGTGTGGTGTAAAGTGGTGCTGATCCCGGTGTTCTGTAGTGGTGTAAAGTGGTGCTGGTCCAGGTGTGGTGTAAAGTGGTGCTGACCCGTGGTCTGTAGTGGTGTAAAGTGATGCTGGTCCCGGTGGTCTGTAGTGTGGTATAAAGTGGTGCTGATCCCGGTGTTCTGTAGTGGTGTAAAGTGGTGCTGGTCCAGGTGGTCTGTAGTGTGGTGTAAAGTGGTGCTGATCCCAGTGTTCTGTAGTGGTGTAAAGTGGTGCTGGTCCAGGTGGTCTGTAGTGTGGTGTAAAGTGGTGCTGGTCCCGTGGTCTGTAGTGGTGTAAAGTGCTGCTGGTCCTGGTGGTCTGTAGTGTGGTGTAAAGTGATGCTGGTCCCGGTGGTCTGTATTGGGGTAAAGTGCTACTCCCCAATCGGAGAAGACCAGAGATAGAGATGCTGTTAACTTAAAGGTGCAATATGCAGAAATCGCTCTGCCATTTCCTGGTTACACAAATTCTAATAGTTTACCTAATTTCAGTTTATGTGACAAAACAAGCACCAGTGGAGCTGTGAAATATATTTTCAATATTGTATTTTCAGCTGTTTGAAGCTGGTGGACAAAACCGAAAGTAAAAGACGCAAAAATGAAACTTAAGAACGGGAAGCATAGAAATAGCACACATAAAACATATCCACTGCTTCTTAGACTCGCTTTCAACGAGAATGACAGAGCTGTAAGTCATATTTCTATGTGAATTTGTCCAGGTCCCCCAAAACTAACTTAACCAAAATGTTAACTCACAGAGCATTTCACTCTTTGCCTATAAAAAACCAACCCCCTAAAAAAAAAAAAGAGCTTTTTTGTGCTTTGCTCAATCCGATCCTATCCACGGATATTCCTATTTTCTCCTCCTCTCCCCGTTTTCTCCTCCCATAAAGTTCCCTCAGCTCCTGTTATGAGCCTTATTTATGTATCCTGTTACAAATGGAAGTCGTGTCAGGGTCCAGTGAGCAAGGCTGCTCAAATATTTCCCTTTCAGTTGTGACTGTCTGACAAGTTGAGGGATGACTGGACTGGACAGACACTTCTTCTCCGCTGAATGTTATGTTTTGTTCGAGTTCCATGTCTGTCTGAAGACTCTGGGCCTGCTAGGTACACTTACTCAGAGTGGTGGTAGATTAACGTCCCCGTCCCTGACCACTCTCTCACACCAGCAATGCACATCTGTGTTTGTGTGTGTGTGTGTGTGTGTGTGTGTGTGCGTGTACAATTAAACTCTCAACAATAACAACAGGACATCGTTATTATAAGGTGATATTTGATGATGATGATGATGATGGTGTACTACAATCTAGTAAACAACATGGTCATTATGTGGTGGAAGCCTGTCAATCTGTCCCACAGATAAACAATCTCCACAGGTTGTCTTACCCAAGTATGGCTGGAATGTGTCTTATCCAAGCATGGCTGGAATGTGTCTTATCCAAGCATGGCTGGAATGTGTCTTATCAAAGCATGGCTGGAATGTGTCTTACCCAAGTATGGCTGGACTGTGTCTTATCCAAGCATGGCTGGAATGTGTCTTATCCAAGCATGGCTGGAATGTGTCTTATCAAAGAATGGCTGGAATGTGTTTTATCAAAGCATGGCTGGAATGTGTCTTATCCAAGCATGGCTGGAATGTATGTTATCCAAGCATGGCTGGAATGTGTGTTATTCAAGCATGGCTGGAATGTGTCTTATCCAAGCATGGCTGGAATGTGTCTTATCCAAGCATGGCTGGAATGTGACTTATCCAAGCATGGCTGGAATGTGACTTATCCAAGCATGGCTAGAATGTGTGTTATCCAAGCATGGCTGGAATGTGTGTTATCCAAGCATGGCTGGAATGTGTCTCATCAAAGAATGGCTGGAATGTGTGTTATCAAATCATGGCTGGAATGTGTCTTATCCAAGCATGGTTGGAATATGTGTTCTCCAAGCATGGCTGGAATGTGTCTTATCCAAGCATGGCTGGAATGTGTCTTATCCAAGCATGGCTGGAATGTGTCTTATCCAAGCATGGCTGGAAGGTGTCTTATCCAAACATGGCTGGAATGTGTCTTATCAAAGAATGGCTGGAATGTGTCTTATCCAAGCATGGCTGGAATGTGTCTTATCCAAGCATGGCTGGAAGGTGTCTTATCCAAACATGGCTGGAATGTGTCTTATCCAAGAATGGCTGGAATGTGTCTTATCAAATAATGGCTGGAATGTGTCTTATCCAAGCATGGCTGGAATGTGTCTTATCCAAGCATGGCTGGAATGTGTCTTATCCAAGCATGGCTGGAATGTGTCTTATCCAAGCATGGCTGGAATGTGTCTTATCCAAGCATGGCTGGAATGTGTCATTGTTTCCACAGTCAACTGGGTCTGCTAATTATAGTAACCCTTAGCAACCACCTGCAGACACAGAACCCTCCATCACACAGACCGTTAGACATGGCAGATGAAAACAACCCAGTCAAAGATAGAACACACTTGTTCAGTATCTCTGTGTTGTTATCTGGCATTGGTTCAACTGTAGATCATATCTGTCATTATGTAGAATATCATTATTCTGACTTCATAGCAATCTGAAATGAATGGATATGTTCACTTTGTGTTCATATCAGATGTTGTTGAACTTTCTGCTCATTCAGTGTTGGTAACTCACTTTGCATGAATGGGGGAATCCGTCTGTCTCCTCATAGTGTCTGTCTGCAGTGCAGCTGGAGCTGGGTCAGAGGCACTCCAACGTTAGTGACAATCTGGTTAGCATTGTCTCCATGTCAAGGAAAGGAAAGATCCCTTGTCTACCACTATTGATGTTCTGTAGCTCCATCTCTCCCTCCCTCCCTTTTCATCCCTCTCTCATGTCACTCATATAACTTGGCTTGGATTTGGTATTATGGGATGTGGGGATTCTTCTTAACGTCTTGTCCAGTGTGTTGTGTCCCCATGGTGATGTCCTTGCTGGCTCTCTCCTAAGGAGTTAGTTGTCTCTTCCTAACTGGTCCAACATACTCTACCTCACATGAGTCACCCTCTTTAGAGGCTCATATAATTCTATTGAGAACAGGGAAACATCAGTGAGGAATTGTGTTTTTATTTTTTCCACTCTTGGGGGTGATGTGCAGGACAGATGGATAAGGGTCTGTGCAGTCAGTCTTGTGGCAAAGAGAAGAGAAGAACATAACTGGAATGGCAGATGTGTGTCTAACCAAGATAGAGGGGAGGGAGAGCCACAGCACTGCCTGCCCTGCACAGACAGACCCATCTTTCCTTTGTTCTCCTGGTATTTTTATGACAACACAGAGCTGCAGAAACAAGCATCTCTCTCTCTCTCTCTCTCTCTCCTCTCTCTCTCTCTCTCTCTCTCTCTCTCTCTCTCTCCTCTCTCTCTCTCTCTCTCTCTCTCTCTCTCTCTCTCTCCAGCTCTGGGACAGATCATGCTGTATGTGGATGGAATGAACGGCCTCATAAGTCACAACGATACCGTCCAATGGCTTTACACACTCGTTGGATCCAAGGTACAGTACAAAGTTACCTGCAAAGGAAATATCATTGTACTTTTGCATTTGACCATCTAACGGCTGTAAAACATGCAAGACCGACCTCCTTGGTAGTGTGACAGCTCTCCCCAGCCCTCTGATGGCCAGGTCGACCTATTTTCTCCCTTCAATCCCTCTCTCTCTGTCCCCCCCCCCCCCCCCCCCCCTCTCTCTCTCTCTCTCTCTCCCCTCTCTCCTCTCTCTCTCTCTGTCCTCTCAGTCTCTCTCGCCTCACACTCTCTCGCTGTCCTCTCGATCTCTCTCTTTCTCTCTCTCTCCCTCTCTCTCTCCCTCTTTCTCCTCTGGGCGAGGGTGTCTCCCTGCATTTCCTGCTCTAACCGATTCTTCTCTCCTCTGCTCCTGCTTCCTGGCCAAGTGTAACACACAGCATGGTTTTGATCATGTCCCGGCCAGGCACTCACTTTATTAGACACAGATCTTCACATCCCTTAGTTTTTTTTCTCTATTTCTCTGTCTTTCTTTCTCTTTTCTGGCTTTACGTTCTGGCTGTACCATGCCTCGGCATTATTCACCCCTACAAGTACAATCCCTGTTCCCTTATTTCCTACACATCCTATCAGGCCATTATCTCAACCACTCAGGGCAGTCAGAGCAGGAAAACCTCTTATCAGGCACTATGTAATGACCCATTTAAACCCTATCAGGGTTAACATGCATGCTGTACCACGTTGGTCACATTTAAACCCTATCAGGGCTAACATTAATGGTGTACCTCGCTGGTGACTGAAGCCAGGGATGTTATTGTGCCTATATAGTTATAACATGCAGAATGTGTTCGTGTGTTGTGTGCGTGTGCGTGCGTGTGTGTGTGTGTGTGTGTGTGTGTGTATGTGTGTGCGTGTGCGCGTGCGCGTGTGTGTGTGTGTGTGTAGTTCCGTCTGGTAGTGAAGACAGCTCTGAAACTGTTACTGGTGTTTGTGGAGTACACTGAGCCCAACGCTGCCCTGCTCATCCAGGCTGTCAACACCGTGGACACTACGGGAGGTAGGACAGACCAGACCACTACCCTACCCTACACACACACACACACACACACACACACACACACACACACACACACACACACACACACACACACACACACACACACACACACACACACACACACACACACACACACACCCACACACACATTGTAGACACTACGGGAGGTAAGTGGGTGTGTTTATTGAAAAAGACTGTAAATCTCTCCCCTGGTGGGGTTCAGTTACCTGCCTCTGTAAAAGCTCCACATTGTGTCCTCTCCAGTAGCGGGGTGAGGTGTGTGTGTGTCTCAACTCTGTCTAAGCCCATCACTCATGTGGCTGTGTAAGGAGAGAGAACCTGATACCAGGAGCTCTGGGTGAGACTGAGACGGTCCATGACCCTACTATCTGACTGCGGCGCTGCCTTAAACACACACACACACACACACACACTACTACTACCCTGGAAACTGTTCGGGACACTTGAGCTGCCTCCAACTTGGTAATACAAGTCCAACTGTACATTATCTACCCCTGATATCATTACTGTTTCAGCTTCTATTAGTCTAATATTACATGATCTACTGATATCATTACTGTTTCAGCTTCTATTAGTCTAATATTACATGATCTACTGATATCATTACTGTTTCAGCTTCTATTAGTCTAATATTACATGATCTGCTCCTGATATCATTACTGTTTCAGCTTCTATTAGTCTAATATTACATGATCTACTGATATCATTACTGTTTCAGCTTCTATTAGTCTAATATTACATGATCTACTGATATCATTACTGTTTCAGCTTCTATTAGTCTAATATTACATGATCTCCTCCTGATATCATTACTGTTTCAGCTTCTATTAGTCTAATATTACATGATCTCCTCCTGATATCATTACTGTTTCAGCTTCTATTATTCTAAAATTACATGATCAACTGATAACATTACTGTTTCAGCTTCTATTAGTCTAATATTACATGATCTACTCCTGGTTTCCATATTGTTCAGTTCAACGTGTCTTTTCTCTGTCTGTATGATTAATTTGCATGCAGAGCGTAGCTGGATTGTGGTACCTTTGGACCAACTGTGTGGTGTGTGATTTGTGGTGCAGGCTGTAAGCTGTGGTCCAATGCCATGGAGATTCTGGAGGAGAAGGATGGGGTGGACACAGAGCTGCTGGTATATGCCATGAGCCTCATCAACAAGGTGGGTCTCTCTCTCTCTTCATCTCTCTCTCTCTAGAGAGGGGCGCGGCGGGCGGAGCGGCAGGAGGCGCAGAGCGAGGCGAGAGCGGCGAGCGGGCGCGGCAGAGAGCGGGCGAGAGCGCGCGCGCGAGCGCGAGAGCGCGCGGCGCGGAGAGGGCGCGCGCGAGAGGGCGGCAGAGCGAGCGAGGGGCGGCGAGGAGGAGAGCGAGCAGGAGAGAGCGCGCGCGAGAAGAGAGGCGCGCGCGGGGCGACGAGAGCGCGGGGAGCGCGCGCGGAAGCGCCACCGAGCGCGCTCTCTCAGTCCCTCTCTCTCTCTCCCCTCTCTCTCTCCTCTCCTCTCTCGTTCACTCTCTCTCGCGCTACCTCTCTCGCCTCTCTCATTCATCTCGCTCTCTGCTTCATCTCGCTCTCCTGGTCATCTCTCCTCTCTCTCTCGCTCTCTCCTTCATCTCTCCTCTCTCGCCTCATCTCGCTCTCTCTCTCACCCCTCACTCTCTCTGCTTGATCATCTACTCGTCTCGTCACGCTCCGTCTCTTCCTCTTCCTCTCCATAACTCTCCTCTCGCTCTCCTCTACTTCCTCTCTCCTCTTCACTCTCTCTCTCATCGCCGTCCGATCTACCGTCTCTCTCTCATCTCTCTCTTCCTCTCTCTCCTCCGGCTCATCTCCCCTCCTCTCTCTCTCTCATCTCTCTCAGCTCCTCTCATCTACCCCTCTCATCTCCCACGCTCTCTCCTCGCAGCCTCATCTCGCTATATCTACTCTCGCTCTCTTTATCTTCGCTCCTCCAGCCTCGCATCTCTCTAGAGCTGCATCGGGGGGTGATCTCTCCTCTCTACAGCGGGGAGGGGCGTCGGCTCTCGCGTATCGCTCTTATCGGCGGCTTTCTCTCTCTCGTCCTCGCGAACGCTTCTGGTGCGGCGCTCTCTCTCTCTCTCATCTCCTCTCTCACTATCTCTTCATCTCTCTCTCATCTTTCTCCTCTTCAGCTATCTCTCTCTCTTCATCTATCTCTATCTTCATCTCTCTCTCTCTCTTAATCTCTCTCTCTCTCTTCATCTCTCTCCATCTCTCTCTCTTTTCATTCCTCTCTCTCTCCATCTCTTTTTCTCTCTCTACATTTCGCTCGCATCTCTTTCTCTCTTATTTTATTTCTCTCTTTCTACATCTCTCTCTCACTCTACGTCTCTCTCTCTACATCTCTCTCTTTACAACTCTTTCTCTCTCTCTCTCTCCCCCTCCCTCAACAAATCTAAATGATGACATTTGTGTGTGTTTCAGACCCTAGCGGGCCTGCCTGACCAGGACTCATTCTATGACGTGGTGGACTGTTTGGAGGAGCAGGGTATCGAGGCCATGTCTCAGAGACACCGCAGTAGGAAGGGAACAGACCTGGACCTCATGGAGCAGTTTAACATCTACGAGGTACGCCAGTCACAAGGTCTCCCACCTAAACCTCCACATTCTCCCAATGACACCGCGGCTTAGTGTAATTCTCTTCCTGGCTTAGCCACTTAACTAGTTTGTTGTGGAAACACTACCAGAGCGCTATAAGGACAACACTTGGTCATGTATAAAAATAAATACTTGACAAGCTTGATTTAGTTTGCCCTCAATGGGACCAATGGAATAGTCCTAAAGTGTTGACCCATGTCTACTAGGGACCTCATGTCCCCTGCTAGTCTAACTGTCCCCTGTTGTGCCTCCAGACTGCTCTGCGCCACGAGGATGGAGACGACGAGAGCCAGGCGCCTACCGTGGGTCGGAAGAACCGGCGACGTGCTAGCGTGGGGGGCACCAACGACCGGCGAGGCCTGGAGAGGAGACGCAGCCGGAGACACTCCCTCCAGAACGGGAGAGGCCCCGCCTCGGCCCCCGCTTCCCCCAGCAGCCCCCACTTTCACGGGGGACACAACGGTAGCTTCCTGCCCTTCGGAGGCCAGGGCATCGACGACGTCAGCGAAAGGTGAGGTGGAGGGGAGGAGAGGGGAATGGGGGGGGGGGGCAAACAGGAGAAGGGGAGGCGGAGAGGTAGAAAGTGTGAATGGGTTAAAGGGAGAAGGATATCCCTGCTTCTATTGTTAACTGAAACTTGCCAATATGATCTTAAATGGTCAGCTGAAATGGTTCAGTTTATTTTTACTTCACTACCCAGAGAAGTCAGCTGTGAGGAACAGGAAAACACACAGATGATTCTGGATCCACGATACAGTTCAGAACAGGAAAGGGTTTGACTGCCAGTGTTGTATTACATTACAGTCTTGGACAGATGTGTGTGTTCCAACCAGAGCCAATATGAATGAAGAATGTAATTATATAGTAATAAAAGAAAGACAGAGCATGGGCTGCTATTGCAAAGTGACGTTTAGATTCATCTTCAGTCGTTTTGTGACCTCGTGGAGCTGCTGAAGGAAATAGGAAGCTTCTGTAAACACAGTGATAGGAGTTATTATTAGTTATTACTGCGGCTCTATCCCAAACAGCACCCTATTACCTATGTAGTGAACTACTTTTGTCAATAAAGGTACCATTTGTCATGTTTCCTTTTGAGGGAGTGTTTGTTGAATTTCAACCAACACTGCATTAGTTTTAATTCAGTAATGTTCATGTATACAAAACCATTAGGAATTCACACTTAACTAAAGCAAAATAATAATGTATTTTATTTAATATTTTTTGTGTGATACAATTTGACTACCGGTCTGGTGTGCTCATTACGGTAACAGAAATCGTCTTTGTCTTTGCCTAAGGAAATTATTATTTGTGAACTCTTGGTCCCAGTGTTATAGACTCACTGGACAATAATATAAATATAATACATGTAATATGATAAGAACTTCTCTGTTAACCACCACAGGTACATTACATATTTTAATTATGGCCATTTAACAGACGCTCTTCTCCAGAGCCACTTACAGTCAGTGCATTCAACTAAGTTAAATAGGCAACCACATATCACAGTCATTGCAAACCTTCCTATGTTTCAAGATGAACTGGTAAAGGACCAATGATAAAACTATACTACAGTGCCTTCAGAAAGTATTCATACCCCTTGACTTATTCCACATTTTTGTTGTTACAGCCTGAATTCAAAATTGATTAAATATATTTTTTTCTCTCACCCAATCTACACACAATACCCCATAATGACAAAGTGAAAACATGTTTTTAGAAATGTCTGCAAATGTATTGAAAATGAAATACTGAAATATCTAATTTACATGAGTGTTCACACCCCTGAGTCAATACATTGTAGAAGCACCTTTGGCAGCGATCACAGCTGTGAGTCTTTCTGGGTAAGTCTCTAAGAGCTTCCACCTGGATTGTGCAACATTTGGCCATCATTCTTTTCAAAATTCTTCAAGCTCTGTCAAATTGCTTGTTAATCATTGCTAGACAACAATTTTCAGGTCTTGCCATAGATTATCAAGCAGATTTAAGTCAAAACTGTAACTAGGGCCACTCAGGAACATTAACTGTGTTCTTGCTAAGCAACTCCAGTGTAGATTTGGCCTTGTGTTTTAGGTTATCGTCCTTCTGAAAGGTGAATTCATCTCCCAGTGTCTGGTGGTAAGCAGACTGAACTAGGTTTTCCTCTAGGATTTAGCTCCATTCCGTGTCTTTTTTATCCTGAAAAACCCCCCAGTCCTTTAATGATTACAAGCATACCCATAACACGATGCAGCCACCACTATGCTTGAAAATATGGAGAGTGGTATTCAGTAATGTGTTGTATTGGATGTGCCCCAAACATAAAACGTTGTATTCAGGACAAAAGGTTAATTGCTTTGCCACCTTTTTTGCAGTATTACTTTAGTGCCTTGTTGCAAATAAATATGCATGTTTTGGAATATTTTTATTCTGTACAGGCTTCCTTTTACTCTGTAAATTATGATAGTATTGTGGAATAACTACAATGTTGTTGATCCATCCTCAGTTTTCTCCTATCACAGCCATTAAACTCTGTAACTGTTTTGAAGTCACCATTGGCCTCATGGTGAAATCCCTGAGCGGTTTCCTTTCTCTCCGGTAACTGAGTTAGGAAGGACACCTGTATCTTTGTAGTGACTGGGTGTATTGATACACCATGCAAAGTGAAATTAATAACCACCATTCTCAAAGGGATATTCAATGTCTGCTTTTTTATTTTGACCTATCTACCAATAGGTGCCTTTCTTTGCAAGGCATTGGAAAACCTCCCTGGTCTTTGTGGTTGAATCTGTGTTTGAAATTCACTGCTCAACTGAGGGACCTTACAGATAATCATATGTGTGGGGTACAGAGATGAGGTAGTCATTTAAATCATGTTAAACACTATTATTGCACACAGAGCAACTTATTGTGTGACTTGTTCAGCAAATTGTTACTCCTGAAATTATTTAGGCTTGCCATAACAAAGGGGTTGAATATTTATTTACTCAAGACATTTCAGCTTTTCATGTTTAATTAATTTGTAAACATTTTGAAAAACATAATTCCACTTTGACATTATGGGGTATTGTGTTTAGGCCAGTGACAAAACATCTCAATTGAATCCATTTTAAATTCAGGCTGTACCACAACAAAATGTGGAAAAAGTCAAGGGGTGTGAATACTTTCTGAAGGCACTGTATGATGGCTACCTTTCCCCCTGCCACACATAACATCCTCCCGTCCACCATTAATAATGACAGTTCCTTTTAACTAGCATATCTGGTAGCGTTACTGGTAGCACTCCTGTTCGGTTCTGCAGATAGTTGAATTGAACCCAGAGGGTTATATGATACTGACTCCCACCAGTCCAGTCCACCACACACAGGAAATTCAGACCACCTTTGAAGATCAGTGTTTTCCATATCGGTAATGAAACACAGGCGGGTGGGCCAAAGGAGACCTGACAGCACAATGTCCCTAGAAAGACTCGTATGCATATGATGTATGCGAGAATCCTTTATTGATTAAAACATTCCAGATATGACCTCACAGTCACACTAGTCAATGGTTGCATCCCAAGTGGCACCATTGTCCTATATTGTGCACTACTTTTGACCAGGGCCCATATGGCTCTGGTCAAAAGTAGTGCACTATGTAGGGAATAGGGTGCCATTTGGGACGTACACTATGATCATTGATCAACCTCTGGTCCGGGGACTGTTACTGGTCCCTAAGATGTTACTGGCTGGTCCCTCAGATGGTTAGCTGACATCGATTTAGTCAGTTCTCATGCTGGTTTTAATGTTATCAAGCACTGTATGTAGTGAATGAAATGAGGACATACTAACTAAAAGCATGAACCTCTTTCAACTATACCGCCTTGTGTACTAATTTTTACGTCCCGTGTCAGTTTTGACAGGGTGTGCTGTGTGTTCTACATTCTGTCTGTCAGTTCTTTGTGTTTCAGTTTTCTACTGTATTTTGTTCATGTTGTCTGTTGCAATTTCTCCTACTTTCCCTCTTTCTTCTCTTTCCCGTCTATTTTCTCCCTTCCCTCCCCTCCATCCACACCTCCACCCCTCCTTTTCAGAGAGGAGGAAGAGGATGAGGAGGAAGAGGAGGAGGAGGATGAGGAAGAGGAAGATGATGAGAGTCATGATATCACGGAGACCACTAGAAAGGGCTTCCAAAGGTATTTCAGGAAAATAGGTTTCCCCCCCAAATAGAACCTCATCTTCTGCATCTTTCTTTCAGTCTTGTCCTCCATCCATCTCTCCTTCCTGGACGATATTGAGTGTTGTTAACAGTGTACTGGTGTGTTAGAACTACAAAAAAAGCATATCTGTTATTTTAAACTTGTAATGTATTCCCCTTGAATATACCCCACCCCCTTTGTCCTACCTTTTGCTCTGCTACTCTGTTGTTCTAGCATGGTGCCAGTGCAGGCAGTAGAGGCCTCCTCTAGCTTGTGTTCTCCTTTTCACTGTATGGTCAACCTCATCCCTGACGCCTCGGCTGCCTCAGAGAGAGAGAGAGAGAGAGTGGCCATGGCCAGCCCTACGGCCCCTGTGTCCACCCCCCCTAGAAACACTGGCTCTAACCCCCAGGATGTCTCTCCTAGTCCCAGACCGACTTCCCAGGTCTTAACGCTGCTGGGCTGGGGGAGACTGCCAGGCACTGCCCACCCTCTGGGCCAACAGCAAGGCACCTCTGTACCTTCCTCTTCCTCCCCCTACTGCTCCTCCTCTCCCTCGAGGGGACGTCGTCATCCCTACATCCAACCCCCCAAGCCCCTCTCCCTCCCCCGCCCCCTCCCCCTCCCCCCTGAGGTGGACCTGAGCCAGGTGTCTGCCTCTGCTGGGGCCAAGGAGAGTGTTGAGAGGGGCGTGGCCAGACAACAGCGTTACAGGTAGAGACGCTGCAGCAGCAGGAGCTATACAGTTCACTTCTTCACCTCTGGCGTTAGATTCACTATGAACTCTTAAATATGCACTGTCATCCCTCAACACTGGTGTCTGTGTCTTCATGCCTGCCTGGCTTGCTCCCTCACAATCCACTTGGCTGAGAAGCTGCTGTACTGAATGTATTTTGGACAGGGGCATAGACATAGTGTTGATGTCTACCGTGTCAGACAGATTCTGTGTTGTCGTGTCATATCTGCTTTCCGTGGCATACGAGACACTTGTAGTTGGTCTCCCTCATGCATGTTATGGATGCTTTAACTTGTGTCCAATTGAACACTACTTTAGCTTGCCTCAGCATTCCTTTGACCTTTAAAGGTCCAGTGCAGTCAAAAACGTGATTTTCCTATGTTTTATATATATTTCCACACTATAAGATTGGAATAATAATGTGAAATTGTGAAAAAAAAATGATAATGCCCTTTTAGTGTAAGAGCTGTTTGAAAAGACAGCCTGAAATATCAGCCTGTTTTGATGGGATGAAGTTTTGGCCTGCCTGGTGACATCACCAGGCGGTAAATGAGTTTCATAAATGAAACACCACAATGTACATTTAACCATTTATTAGAAAAGATTACAATGCATAGTGTTGGTATTAGGGCTCTGCTTCCTTCAGGGTAGCTCACTGCCAGAGCGAAGCGTCATATGAAGATGATAAAATAACTACAGGCAGTGAGCACGACATGCTATATCAAATCTCCTGAAGGAAGAAACACAGAACCCACAGGTGGAGGCTGGGGTGGTGGTGGGATATCAGAAACAGCAAGCATAGCGAGTAACAGCTAGTTACAGCAACAACGGCAGCAAGAGACACCAGCGCATGCGTGCTCGTGCCATCCAGCATCGAGGAAGCATGTGTAGAACTGGTTGACCGAATGTAAGGAGAGTTTATTTTTTTATTTTTTTATTTCACCTTTATTTAACCAGGTAAGCCAGTTGAGAACAGGTTCTCATTTACAACTGCGACCTGGCCAAGATAAAGCAAAGTAGTGCAATAAAAACAACACAGAGTTACATATGGGGTAAAAAAACATAAAGTCAAAAATACAACAGAAAATACATATACAGTGTGTGCAAATGTAGCAAGTTATGGAGGTAAGGCAATAAATAGGCTATAGTGCAAAAATAATTACAATAGTATTAACACTGGAATGCTAGATGTGCAAGAGATTATGTGCAAATAGAGATACTGGGGTGCAAAAGAGCAAAATAAATAACAATATAGGGATGAGGTAGTTGGGTGGGCTAATTTCAGATGGGCTGTGTACAGGTGCAGTGATCGGTAAGGTGCTCTGACAACTGATGCTTAAAGTTAGTGAGGGAGATAAGAGTCTCCAGCTTCAGAGATTTTTGCAATTCGTTCCAGTCATTGGCAGCAGAGAACTGGAAGGAATGGCGGCCAAAGGAGGTGTTGGCTTTGGGAATGACCAGTGAGATATACCTGCTGGAGCGCAGACTACAGGTGGGTACTGCTATGGTGACCAATGAGCTAAGATAAGGTGGGGATTTGCCTAGCAGTGATTTATAGATGGCCTGGAGCCAGTGGGTTTGACGACAAACATGTAGTGAGGACCAGCCAACAAGAGCGTACAGGTCACAGTGGTGGGTAGTGTATGGGGCTTTGGAGACAAAACGGATGGCACTGTGATAGACTACATCCAATTTGCTGAGTAGAGTGTTATTTTGTAAATGACATCGCCGAAGTCAAGGATCGGTAGGATAGTCAGTTTTACGAGGGCATGTTTGGCAGCATGAGTGAAGGAGGCTTTGTTGCGAAATAGGAAGCCGATTCTAGATTTAACTTTGGATTGGAGATTCTTTATGTGAGTCTGGAAGGAGAGTTTACAGTCTAACCAGACACCTAGGTATTTGTAGTTGTCCACATACTCTAGGTCAGACCCGTCAAGAGTGGTGATTCTAGTCGGGTGGGCGGGTGCCAGCAGCGTTCGATTGAAAAGCATGCATTTAGTTTTACTAGTGTTTAAGAGCAGTTGGAGGCTACTGAAGGAGTGTTGTATGGCATTGAAGCTCATTTGGAGGTTTGTTAACACAGTGTCCAATGAAGGGCCAGATGTATACAAAATGGTGTCGTCTGCGTAGAGGTGGATCTGAGAGTCACCAGCAGCAAGAGCGACATCATTGATATACACGGAGAAAAGTGTCGGCCCAAGAATTGAACCCTGTGGCACCCCCATAGAGACTGCCATAGGTCCAGACAACAGTGTGCCATAGGTCCATAGGTCCAGACAACAGTGTGAATCCAATTGGTGCAATATCCGCTGATGCGATCAGCTGATGCCACCACCCTCGGGTTTCCCTTCTGAACCGGCTCCGCTTAATTAATAGACCAATAAGAAAGAGAGTTCCAAACCTCTCTGCCAATAACAGCTAGTTTTCCGTTTTCCACTCCCCACTCAAGCCACTCCCAGACAGTCCTAGCAAAATTCTTGCTTGAGAAATTGCTCTTTCCTAAGAAGCTATTTTTGTTTCTTTTTGACCATTTGAATTGAAAGAAATCACAGTAAGGTACACCAGGTGCCCAGTAGGCTGCTACATTTCCCTGTCCGGTGTTTTATGGTGCTTCTATCATCCGTCCCGCATACACACGAAAAAAAGAAAGAGAAGAATTTGAACAAAGACGTATCATTTCCTTGACTGAGTCAGCTGCTAGATGTGCAACTCCAGTTGAGAACACCACGTTTTCCTGACATTTACTGCTCATCTGTCTTTCATTGTGGCGTTGTACCACAGTTAAACCCAGACATGCCTAGAAAATAAAATTCAAAAATGAAAAGGCACCATAACTCACGTTTGAGTGTCTCTTAGATGTCTGTGTAATGTTGTGTGGAGCTGCAGCAACAGACATAGGATGGAAGTAGTGTTGCCATATTGTGAACAGACCAGGCCAGAAGGATGGAAAGTAGTGTTGCCATATTGTGAACAGACCAGGCCAGAAGTGCCTCAGTGTATAGTCCTAGTGAACTCCCTACCTCCTATCCCATATAATCTTAATGACCCACCCGTAAGTAGAGGTCTTTTAACTGTCGGCTTTATGAGAATTTAAAAAAGGTTTGATTGTTTTTATAGAGTATGTAGAGTCCGTGTCGATGGGGGGAGGGGCAGAAATGTTGTATTGCTTCTTGGAATCACCATGTATCTTGCTACTATCCTTCCCTCAATCGTTCTCCACTATTCAATTTTCTTTGTGTTTAACCCTTGCATGCTTCTTTCCATCCTTACATATTGTACCAGACTGTCCCTATCCTCTCTCTCTCCTCACTATTTTCCTTCTGCAGCCAAACAGCTGTATTGTATATATCTAGAGCGCCCGTTAGTGCTGGAAGGTAAGACTTAGCCACAAGTCTTATAATCTTATAGGTAAGACTTAGCCTCCAGGTTAATACTAGTCTTATAGGTAAGACTTAGCCTCCAGGTTAATACTAGAGTCTGTTTGATTGAGTGTGTGGACAGGTGTCTTTTATACAGGTAACGAGTTCAAACAGGTGCAGTTAATACAGGTAATGAGTGGAGAACAGGAGGGCTTCTTAAAGAAAAACTAACAGGTCTGTGAGAGCCGGAATTCTTACTGGTTGGTAGGTGATCAAATACTTATGTCATGCAATACAATGCAAATTAATTACTTTAAAATCATACAATGTGATTTTTTAGATTCCGTCTCTCAGAGTTGAAGTGTACCTATGATAAAAATTACAGACCTCTACATGCTTTGTAAGTAGGAAAACCTGCAAAATCGGCAGTGTATCAAATACTTGTTCTCCCCACTGTAGGTAAGACTTAGCCTCCAGGTTAATTCTAGTCTTATAGTCTTATAGGTAAGACTTAGCCTCCAGGTTAATACTAGTCTTATAGTATTATAGGTAAGACTTAGCCTCCAGGTTAATAATAGCCTTATAGTTTTATAGGTAAGACTTAGCCTCCAGGTTAATATTAGCCTTATAGTTTTATAGGTAAGACTTAGCCAGCTTAATACTAGTCTTATAGGTAAGACTTAGCCTCCAGGTTAATACTAGTCTTATAGTCTTATAGGTAAGACTTAGCCTCCAGGTTAATACTAGTCTTATAGGTAAGACTTAGCCTCCAGGTTAATACTAGTCTTATAGGTAAGACTTAGCCTCCAGGTTAATACTAGTCTTATAGTCTTATAGGTAAGACTTAGCCTCCAGGTTAATACTAGTCTTATAGTCTTATAGGTAAGACTTAGCCTCCAGGTTAATACTAGTCTTATAGTATTATAGGTAAGACAGCCTCCAGGTTAATACTAGTCTTATAGTCTTATAGGTAAGACTTAGCCTCCAGGTTAATACTAGTCTTATAGTATTATAGGTAAGACTTAGCCTCCAGGTTAATACTAGTCTTATAGTATTATAGGTAAGACTTAGCCTCCAGGTTAATACTAGTCTTATAGTATTATAGGTAAGACTTAGCCTCCAGTTAATACTAGTCTTATAGTCTTATAGGTAAGACTTAGCCTCCAGGTTAATACTAGTCTTATAGTCTTATAGGTAAGACTTAGCCTCCAGGTTAATACTAGTCTTATAGTCTTATAGGTAAGACTTAGCCTCCAGGTTAATACTAGTCTTATAGTCTTATAGGTAAGACTTAGCCTCCAGGTTAATACTAGTCTTATAGTATTATAGGTAAGACTTAGCCTCCAGGTTAATACTAGTCTTATAGTCTTATAGGTAAGACTTAGCCTCCAGGTTAATACTAGTCTTATAGTATTATAGGTAAGACTTAGCCTCCAGGTTAATACTAGTCTTATAGTTCTATAGGTAGCCTTCTATGTCTCTGCTATCTTAGGGCATCTATTTAGAGACTGTACACGCAGGGGGGGAATTGAGGGGAATTCGGTTCCCTTTAGTGAAACAAATTTCTACATAAAACTCATTTCTACATTTCTACATTTCTAAATGTTTTTTTAGCTGAATTCCTAGTGATTTGACAGTGGTGACCTGGATACGCTGTAGATTTAAATGATGTGTCAGTGCTCTCCGGCTGTATCAAACACACCATGACACAGCAGTGACCCCTGCTGCTGCATGCTGAGCACGTCTTGGAATGCAACGCTGCTCGCTTCACTCTCTCATTCAACAGAGCCATTAAGAAGCACCTTAGAAAGCAGCAGGGCTGTTGAGGGTCAGCTCTGCTCTTGAGTACAGTCATTTCCTCCCTTAAATTGAATCCCACTCAAGTCCCGCTGCTCGTGGCTGTGTGCTTGGCTTGGGTGTCTGTCGACTGCCTTTCATGACCTCCACAGGCAGAGGAAGTGTCCCAAAGCGTACCCTATCCCATATATAGTACAAAACCTTTGACCAGAGCCCATAGGGCACTATATTGGGAATAGGGTGCCATTTTGGGCCGCACGCAGAGAGTGGAATAAGCCTGATACCTCCTGGCTGCTGACGCCAGCTGCCCAGAGAGAGTGGAATAAGCCTGATGCCTCCTGGCTGCTGACGCCAGCTGCCCAGAGAGAGTGGAATAAGCCTGATGCCTCCTGGCTGCTGACGCCAGCTGCCCAGAGAGAGTGGAATAAGCCTGATGCCTCCTGGCTGCTGACGCCAGCTGCCCAGAGAGAGTGGAATAAGCCTGATGCCTCCTGGCTGCTGACGCCAGCTGCCCAGAGAGAGTGGAATAAGCCTGATGCCTCCTGGCTGCTGACGCCAGCTGCCCAGAGAGAGTGGAATACGCCTGATTCCTCCTGGCTGCTGACGCCAGCTGCCCAGAGAGAGTGGAATACGCCTGATTCCTCCTGGCTGCTGACGCCAGCTGCCCAGAGAGAGTGGAATACGCCTGATTCCTCCTGGCTGCTGACGCCAGCTGCCCAGAGAGAGTGGAATATGCCTGATTCCTCCTGGCTGCTGACGCCAGCTGCCCAGAGAGAGTGCTAGCAAGGCTGTCCTCATAGAGCAGTGTGAGATGTGTGGGGATAAAGCGATAGAAAACTATACTGTCAGTGTATACCCATGATGATAATAGATGTCATGGTCATACACAGGACTACAGTCAGCCTTGGTTTAGTCAACACTGTACAACCACAGCTTTTTAACACACAGTGGGAAAGGAACGTGTCTGGTATTTTCTGACACTATACTTTGAGTTAGTGAATGTCACTCAGTGACCGAATCAAAGCCAAGAGTTGAGCCGTGAAACTTACAGCAGCAGAGCACCTGTTTGACCAAAGACCATGAATCTCTACAATCCCGGCATAGTGGGAAAATGTAGGGCTGAGTCCCAAACACCACCCTATTCCCTTTATAGTGTACTACTTTTGACAAGGGCCCAAGTGGCTCTGGTCAAAAGTAGTGCACTATATAGGGAATAGGGTGGTGTTTGGGACACACATCCTTAGTGTTGGGAATGATAGCAGTGAATAACAATGTTTCCTCCTCCTGTTGTTTCCAGCCGACACATAGGCCACGTCATGGCGCTCCCTGGCAGGTCCCAGGGTGTAGCCAGCTCCAGCGTCAGCGCCCCCACCACCCCTGTACACCGCTCCCAGGGTGTTGCCAGCGCCCCCACCACCCCTGTACACCGCTCCCAGGGTGTTGCCAGCGCCCCCACCACCCCTGTACACCGCTCCCAGGGTGTTGCCAGCGCCCCCACCACCCCTGTACACCGCTCCCAGGGTGTTGCCAGCGCCCCCACCACCCCTGTACACCGCACCTTCGCCACCTCAGGGGCCCCACAACTGGACTCCAAGCCTGACAGGTCAGCACTCAATCAATCAATCAATCAATTAAATAAGCCATCTCTGTGTATGGGTCTGTTTCAGACCTGGGTTGAAATATTATTTGTTTTCTTTCCAGTACTTTAGGTGCGCTTGTTTTATGGAATAGTAATACGGCTTTAATAATAATGGTCTTCCTCTGTTGGGTTACCCAGACCTTCTCTGGGGAGCTTGTTGTCCTCCTCTTACAGACAACACCAGGAGTCTCTGACTGCAGAGAGAGAGAGGAGGAGACAAGAGAGGGAGGAACGACTGCAGAAGATCGAGAGGGAGGAGAGGAAACGCTTCAAGTGAGTCCCAACCTGCATCAAATCACACTACTCATAGATGGAATTGTCCTTTTGACATTCACATTGCAGTCCAGTTCATTTAAAGTCCCAAACCAATTCACCAGATTAAACACGGCTTTATAAACTTCTCTGTAATGTTAACGTCTGGAGTGATTTAGTTTTGTCTGGGATGAATAAGAGTCTGAGCCTTGTTCCACAATATATCAGACGGGTTGGAGATGTTTAGAGACTGGACATACTTGTCTGTCTGTCTGTTTATTATGGTCATCAGTCAGGGATATACTGTGGATCTAAGGAGGAGATACATGGTCTGCGTCCCAAATGGCACCCTATTGGGCCCATAGGTCTCTGGTCAAAAGTAGGGCACTTATTAGGGGATAGGGTGCCATTTGGGGTGCAGCCATGGTTCGGCAGAAAACAAATGCCTGCTGGCCTGCCTTTTACTTGTTTTCTATGGCCATATAAAGTCCTGGATGTCAGACGGACCGCTGGAAAGCTCCTCTGGTCTGTGTGTCTCCTCTGTCATGTCGGACTGTTTCTCTCCCACAGTATTTACAACTATTCACACTGTCTCATTGGTTAACTAAGGATGTCTTTTAAAAAGGTACTATAGAATGTGAATGAAAACAAATATGAGTTGATATGCACAATAAGATATAGCTCTCACATTATTTTCACATACTGTCGCTCTCTCTCTCTCTCTCTCTCTCTCTCGCTCTCTCTCACTCTCTCTCTCTCTCTCTCTCTCACTCACTTACTTGGAACATTATCAGTCGGGATTACATGGACAAGAGGGAAGAGACAAGACAGGCCAGAGAAGAGAGGTATGTTGTCTACTTTCATTTCTAATATGCAAATAGACACAGTGCTGTCTAGCAATGTAGATTCTAGAATGATTCAGATAGACACTGTGCTCTATATCAATGTAGATTCTAGAATCCTTCAGATAGACACAGTGCTCTATAAGAATGTAGATTCTAGAATCATTCAGATAGACACAGTGCTCTATATCATGTACAATAGGTTCTAGAATCATTCAGATATAAACAGTGCTCTATATAAATCTAGATTCTAGAATCATTCAAATAGACACAGTGCTCTATATCAATGTAGATTCTAGAATCATTCAGATAGACATAGTGCTCTATATACATCTCGATTTAGAATCATTCAGATAGACACCGTGCTCTATATCAATGTAGATTCTAGAATCATTGACACAGTGCTCTATATAAATCTAAATTCTAGAATCATTCAGATAGACACAGTGATCTATATCAATGTAGATTCTAGAATCATTCAGACACAGTGCTCTATATACATCTATATTCTAGAATCATTCAGATAGACACAGTGCTCTATATCAATGCAGATTCTAGAATCATTCAGATGTAATAAATACATCATAATGACCCTGACATGAGGTAGTAATATGCCTTGAAACCTTTTTGAGGAGAACTCTTAGCAGATGTAGAACAAGTCAGGCTCAGCCTCTGGGCTGAAATATAGGTGTCAGGCCCCCTCTAGGCCTGCTGCTGTGCATTAAGACATCTACAACTGAATGGGACGAGGTGTGGAATTGGCTTTAAGTCCTGGATACGGTCCAGATAATGTAGGCTATGCATGTGTAATGTACCACCTTCCAGACATATGTATGTTCAGTGTTATTTAAAACAGGAATCCGAGGTTATGTTTGCTGCCTTTTTAAAATGTATGTTCAGTAAATTGATAAGATTTTCAGTCACCTAACCTCTGACTGAATGGAGAGTGATGTATAAATCAAGATTAAACACTATTATAAGACCCATCTGTGGAGAAGTCGCTGTAGTATACTGTAGGTGTCTTCTAAGATTTATGTGTCAATTAAGCACCTGGAGACATCCGAGAAGCATCACAGAGTCCCAGACATTTGGCCACTGTTTCAGAAAAGGAAGTGTGAGGGAACTGACTACAGTATATTACTGGTGGGGGGTGGCAGTAGCCTCGAGGTTAGAGAAGCGGGAATCTTCTTCTACCCCCATGAGATAGAGATTATATTACAGTAGACCTGCACAGGTGGAGTAACATCCTTTCTGAAGAATATTCTGTGACTCCCTCTTCCAGATATAAGTGCGTTGAGAGGCTCGCAGCAGAGGAGCATGAGAAAGAGAGAGAGCGCACGAGAGCGCCACCTAGGGGTCGCACAGAGATCACCCTGAGCCTGAGCCCCACCCCCTCCAGTCACTCCGCCTCCCCCCGCTGTGTCACGCCCTCCTCCATCGCCTCTCCGGAAGAGACTGGCACCACTCCATCCCAGACATCCCAGACGCAGGGTAAATAACCTTTTCCAAACGTTTAACCAACATTACAGCTCCCATCCCAGACGCAGGGTAAATAACCTTTTCCAAACGTTTAACCAACATTACAGCTCCCATTCCAGACGCAGGGTAAATAACCTTTTCCAAACGTTTAACCAACATTACAGCTCCCATCCCAGACGCAGGGTAACATAATGTTCTACAGACATTTAACAATCATTACCGGTCCAATAAGTTGTATGTATTTGTTGTTTATTCTTTATCCGGATGAGTCCCTGGCCAAGAGGTAGCAGCTTAAGCAACCATAGTACAGCACAGTATAAAACAATACAAAACGGGACAAAACAACACAACCGGAATAAAATGGAACGACTAGTAAAGTGATTTCAAACAGGATGGGAGCATGGACAGAGTGTATGGTTGGCAACATGCAGTCGGCTGGCAGAGAGCTCCTGTCCACCTGTCATGCTTCCTGGGGTCTGAATTAACACATGGGGGGTGATTCACTCACACTTTGGAATTAGAATCAGATGGACTAATAATGGCTGCATGGTGCCTGTTGGGGGGAAAAATCAGCAGGACTTGATAAGAAAGGGATTTAATTGTTGTTTTTCTGTGTGCTTCAGAATGAGGTGTCTGTAAGTGTATGTTGCTAAATCCCAAATACGTTTTGGGATGGGATGGACATTACTTTAGCTGCCTGTGGGGAAATGGTTTGAATGATGGTTTGAAGCAGAGTGAGAGGCTAGCTTTTCGGTCCCAGGCATACCCCAGTGATTTGTATGTGACTGTAGTGTGGTTTTGGCTGTGGTAGCGCTAGCCGCTAGGGTGTGGACCTCTTAATGTGGGGTTCCATTCACATCCTACAGTAGGAGCCAGGAAGAGGTGTGGTGGACTGTGGACTGGACTACAGCATTGACCATAGAGGGGACAAGCCTTTCAATACCTCACAGACTCAGTTATGATGATACATGAATGAATATCATGAGAACTAGATGTTGTTAGTCTGGGGTGGTTATTCTAACCCACCAAAATGGGATAATGGGATAAAATGAGGTGTTGAATCTAATTTCGAAACACATTGTCATCATAGCTGTTAATACATTTCCTGTAACATTCAATTAAGTATGAAATTACATGCTTAACGACTTGTGCTCTGGACCGAAATCTAGACAATTTATCATTTGAATTAATGAAATGTCACAGGGCAATTTCATGGTATTTACATTATAAAAATATCATTTAAAAATGATATCAGATGATATTAAAATGGCACACAATCTAAACCCCTACAGTAGTGTTCTGTTTTGTTTGGTCCTGTTTTCTCTACCAGGAAGTGAAGTAGACGTAGAGCCAAGCCGTGACCTTCAGACCAGAACTACAAGTCCAGTGCCAGAGTTAATAGTATCAGGACCTTCTCCAGAACCCACAGAGCCCCCCTCCCAAACTCACTCGGCGCCAGGCGAGGAGCAGACGGAGACAGAGACGCAGAAAGAGAAGCAGGAAGTAGTTGAAGTTGAGCCCAAGCAGGAAGTACTAGAGCTAGTGGAGTCAGCGGTAGATGAACAGACACAGGGTAAAGAGGAGGAAGAAAGTGAGGAGGAGGAGGAGAAGGGTAAGGAGGAAGAGAGACAGTCAGGGAATGAGGTGGAGAGAGAGGTAGAAGAGGTAGAGAGAGAAGAGGTAGAAGAGGTAGAAGAGGGGGTAGAGGTAGAGGTAGAAGAGAAGGTAGAAGAGGGGGTAGAGGTGGAGAGAGAAGAGGTTGAGGTGGTAGAGATAGAGGAGGAGGGAGAGAGGGAGGTGGAGGAGAGACTGGTCCTCCTCAGTGAGAAGGAGAGACAGAACGAGGAAGTGAATGAGAAGGACAACTGTTCTGCCTCCAGTATCTCCTCAGCCAGTAGCACTCTGGAGAGAGAGGAGAGGGAGGAGAAAGTCAACAACAACCATGAACCAGGTACCAGCTGCCCGTTAGCAGAAAATACAGACTTTAGGACACTTGGCCCTTTATGACTTAAAATATTACTTGTGATTTGTACCCATACTGTAAAATGGGACACTTCCGTATACTGTACATCAGTAGGCAAACATTGAAGTTCATGTCATGTCAGAACATTTCATTCTACCCATGCTCTCATTACAGTTTCTGATATATAGATCTGCTCTCTAATCTGTTCTGAAGGCTAGCAATCCAATAGTAATCCAATAGTAATCCAATCCACACTTCCTCCTTGTGTTTGTCCACCTCTAGGCCAGTGCATTAAGGAGGACGACGTGAACGAGCAGTGCAGCAAGATCCTCAACAGCAAGCGCTTCATGCTGGACATGCTCTATGCCCAGAACAAAACCACTGGGGGCAAGGACGAAGAGAAGGCAGGAGAGACGGAACAGACGGAGAAATGCAAAGAGGGGATGGAGACGTCATCACTGGAGGGTCAGGACGGGTCGTCGGTGGCCAGCCTGGCAAGTCGTATCTCTACACTGGAGGCCAGCAGGCAGGCCTGCGAGGAGAACGTCAAGAAGATAGAGGTCCAACACCTGGACAACCAGGGTAGCGTCAGGGCTGTGGCCGAGAAATTTGGAGACCTGGTTAAAAGCCTTGTGTCGCCTCATGAGCTGGAGGCATTGGAGAAGCAGCAGCAGGGTCAGCTTCAACCTGATAAAGACAAAGCTCCTCCGGCCCCCTCCTCCTCACCCCTACCTCCTAAGAAGGAGTCAGACTATATCTGGGACCAGCTGATGGCAGCCCCCAGGGAGCTGCGTATTAAAGAGATGGACTTCACAGACCTGGCAGACGAGGATGACCTGGACATCCTAGACGTGGACAGTGTGCTGATGGGCTCCAGTGACCTGATGATTCCTCCCCCTCCTCCCTGTCTCTCCGCCCTGCCCCCTCCCCCTCCCCCTCCCCTGGGCCTGTTCGGCTGCCCCCCACCCCCTCCTGTCCCTGGCATGATGCCCCCTTCCCCACCCTTCATGCCCCCCGGCCCCGCCCAGCCCTACCCGGGGTCTCCCCAGCTGAGCCGAGGGACAGGGGAGCCCCCTCTGTTCCAGAAGAAGAAGAAGACTATCCGTCTGTTCTGGAACGAGGTGAGGCCCATGGACGGCCAGTACAGGAACCACAAGCGTTGTAGAGAGTCACTCTGGTCCAAACTGGAGCCGGTCAAAGTGGACACGTCCAAGCTGGAACACCTGTTTGAAACAAAGTCCAAGGAGCTACCTGTTACCAAGGTAACTTTGTTGACCATTTTGGTACTGCATATTTATACGTATAGGAAATGTATGTGTTTTGCTCAATAAATGAATTTGTGAAATTGTCTCTTAAGCATTTAGGGGCGGTTTCCCGGACACAGATTAAGACTAATCCAGGAAACAGCCCCAAGGATTTTTACAGCTTGTCCTTTTCCTCCAGAGCACATAGGTTTAGACATCAGGTGTGAACACCTGGACAACCGGTACCCCCTGTATATAGCCTCCTTACTGTTATTCTATTGTTGCTCTTTCATTATTTGTTATTCTTCTGTCTTCTTTTTTTTATTTATTTTTTTTACTTCAGTTTATTTTAGTAAATACTTTCTTAACACTTTTTTTTTTTAACTGCATTGTTGGTTAAGGGCTTGTAAGTAAGCATTTAACTGTAAGGTCTACACCTGTTGTATTCGGCGCATGTGACAAATACAATTTGATTTTATTTGATTTTGAAGCTACTATCCACACCTTCTGTTCTATATACACTCAGCAGAATAGCACTAACCATTGCTTCAACGTGTTGGCAAAGTCTGACCTGCATGTCGTCTGCTATTGTTTCTCTTCACAATTCACTATTTCCTTCTGTGTGTGTGTGTTCCTGTTTTGGTTTTGGCCGTTTAGCCTGTCGAGCTGGATCCCCATGTTCATGCTTCAGGCTTCTTTTCATCCACAGCAACAAAAGTAGTGCCCTATATAGGGAATAGGGTGCCATTGGCCCATATGGCTCTGCTCAAAAGTAGTGCACTATATAGGGAATAGGGTGCCATTTGGGACGTAACCCTGCTGTCCTTTGTGACGCTCTGACTAGACCTGCCCCACACTGTCTCCTGCTTCAACCTATTGAAGAATGCAGTGCAGGATTTAAACCAGATTGTCTTAAATGTACTGTAGGTCAACCCTGTCGTCCCAACCTGCTAGAAGACAGAATGATTGAATGTGATGGATTCCCTCTAATATCTTTTCAACCCCATCAAAGGTGCAGCCTGTATACAGTTTTCTCTGTCACTTTGAACTCAACTGACTCTGAGATGGTCCAAAAATGAAAACAGGAGAGATGTATATAAATATAGATGTAGCTAGATATAGAGAGGCCAACCGCACAGGGAGATCAGATCTACTGTAAAAGGTCATATACAGTATTATAGTGTTAAGTTGCGTCAATTCAAATCTGGTATAAGGAACAGAAGAGGTCAATACACGTCTTCTAAGATAGACTAGTATTTTAATTAATGCAAACACTGTTCGTATATACGGGCCCACTGAAACACCACGCTGGGCAGACAGAGAACTAACTTTTTCAACCCAAGGTTCTTCTTTAATACTCTGACAGAGATAGTTCCTGCTCCAGGCTGGGCCTGTCAGAATAGAGGCTGGGTGTGGTTTAAACTTACCCAACCTATCGTTGGCGCTCAGGCTGGTCCCAGACCCTTGGCGCTTCACTGTTGCCAGGTGTTAGTTGTTTCTGTTGCAGTACACATGTCCTTGAGCAGTTTAACAAAGAGGCAGTGTGTGTGTGAATCACAAGTCTATCTCAGCCTACCCCCTAACGGTTCCTCACATTAATCACAGCTTGTTATGTTAAACAATCTATATCAGTACAGCACAAACCTATTATGTTTATTCATTAATGTATTCTTTCTAAGCTAGGCATCACATCTAGTTGTAAGAGAATAGATCCCCACAATAGTCACACGGTTTTGGTCCCTTGCCCTGATCCATTTTGATTGAGGCACTCTAGTTCTGAACGTTTTAACATCTGAACTCACCGTCATTTGTTAATGGTGTATTTTTATGTTCAAAGTTTTATGGAATCCTTGGACTGTTTTTATTTGTAATAAATTTGCACACAAAAAACAAAACCTGTTTTCGCTTTGTCATTATGGGGTATTGTGTGTAGATTGATGAGGACAAAATTTAATTTGATCCATTTGAGAATAAGGCTGTAACGTAATAAAATGTGGAAAAAGTGAAGGGGTCTGAATACTTTTCCGAATGCGCTGTATAGTATAAGACTAGTACTTTATTGGTATTCATATAATGTCCTGTTTCTGTGTATCTCTACTCAGAAAACAGCAGTGGATGGGAAACGACAAGAGATTATTGTCCTGGACTCCAAACGGAGCAATGCCATCAACATCGGGCTGACCGTCCTCCCCCCTCCCCGCACCATCAAGACAGCCATCCTCAACTTTGACGAGTACGCTTTGAACAAGGAGGGGATCGAGGTAAGCTGCATGTGAGATGGTATATTGAAATTATTGGGCTATTATGATTATATATCCTAGTCGTTATCGATGTGTATCTAGCAAAGTCACTGTCACCATTAGCTCTTGAGTGTAAATCTGTGATGTCTAGTAATCTCAATGAAAGCATGTTGGAAAAACATAGCTCTGTGTATTTTATTTTATTTTATTTAACCTTTATTTAACTAGGCAAGTCAGTTAAGAACAAATTCTTATTTACAATGACGGCCTACCAAATGGCAAAAGGCCTCCTGCGGGGATGGGGGCTGGGATTTAAAAAATGAATATATATAAATTTAGGACCACACACACATCACAACAAGAGAGACAACACAACACAACACAACACTACATAAAGAGAGACCTAAGACAACAACATAGCATGGCAGCAACACACGACAACACAGCAAGGTAGCAACCCAACATGAAAACAACATGGTAGCAACACAACAACATGGTAGCAACACATATCTGTACAGTCAATACTGAAGACACTGTCTATTGCTGACCTGCCAAACAAACAAGTCATTTACTTCAACTGCGTCCAAAATAAACTTGGTTTCACTTCAAACCTGCACTAAAAATACGTACGTTTCCAATGTATTTTCACAACTGACTTTTCACTCCAGAAAATTTAAGTTTCAATGAGTTGGGATTGGCTGTGGTCGGTGTGGACATGTCAAGTGGTTTCTCAGCTGGATGCCTGGAATCTTAGCTTATCTCATATAATTAGTCATTGGTACGTACCATTAAAAGTTAGCTACACATGCATATTTTAAGATCGTTTTTGAACCATAATATAGACCTTTGGAGGACTTCAGATGGTGTAAATAATGATTAATATTGCATCTCCTCGGTCTTATATAATCTGCGGTACTTTTTCATCCTTTTCCATGGGAACATTCTTATGTAGAGGAGAGGAGCACTGCAATGTACTGCTCCACCTTCTACGTCTATTTCTCACAGACAGACAGCAGCAGGAAGGTAGAACGTTCAGATGTCTCACAAGGTTGGAGGCCAAGGCAGGAATGATTGTTTTTCCAATAGCAAATATGTTCGTTGATAATAAAAAAGAACTGGAAAATTAGAAACATTCCACCTCTCATCTCTATCTCCAGCTCCCCCTTTCCTCTCCTCCTTCAACTCTGGTCCAGCCTCTCCAACCTAATGTGTGTGTGTGTGTGTGTGTGTGTGTGTGTGTGTGTGTGTGTGTGTGGTGTGTGTGTGTGTGTGTGTGTGTGTGTGTGTGTGTGTGTGTGTCTAAGGGATTGGTACAGCAGCAGACACATTTATGTCTCGTATGGATTCATTAAGTCTTCTTCTTGTCCCCCTTTCCTAGAAAATCCTGACGATGATCCCAACGGAGGAGGAGAAGCAGAAGATCCAGGATGCTCAGCTGGTGAACCCTGAAGTCCCCCTGGGGTCAGCAGAACAGTTCCTCCTCACCCTGTCCTCCATCACGGAGCTGTCCGCCCGGCTGCAGCTCTGGGCTTTCAAGATGGACTACGAGGTCATGGAGAAGGTCAGAGCACCGCCACCTTTCTGTCATTACCTCACCAACTCCTATAGGTGGAGTCATGCACTACCTGACACTTCCTACATGTGCATCATCATAATCGTCTGATTGTGCAATACAAGAGAGAATTGTTGGAGATGGATATGGGTTGGCTTGTCGTAGCAAGGTGTCGTAGTTAAGGAAATAGATGTTGTTTTCCATATAGCACCTGACTCCTCTATGGTTGTAACTGAATGTCCGTGGTTCTTGAACATAAGGGTTCAACAAAGAACAAAATGAATTACTCCTGGAAATTGTTTATAGTTGCAGTCTTAAAGTAATAATCTAGTGACAGATGGTTACCATCTGTCCAGCACACACACAATATTTGGTTCTGGGTGCAGAGATTAGTCTTACATTAACTAGAGAAATACTCAGAAACAAATCACTTTAACATTCAACCTTCAAACAAATCTCTCTGACATTTAACCATCATAAAGTATTCTCAGCTGGTTCCTGTAATGACTAGTTTCAGTTTAAAAGGCCATATTTGATGTGTGTGCCATCTCTCTCTCTCTCTCTCTCCTCTCTCTCTCTCTCTCTCTCTCTCTCTCTCCCTCTCTCATCTCTCTGCCTCTCTCATCTCCCTCTCTCTCGCTCCCTCGCTCTCTCTCGCCCTCTCTGTCTTACAGGAAGTGGCAGAGCCGCTGCAGGACCTTAAGGAAGGGATGGACCAACTGGAGAAGAACAAGACGCTGCATTACATCCTGTCCACTCTGCTGGCTATAGGCAACTTCCTCAACGGATCCAACGTGAGTAACATTACACAAGTCTGGCCTGGGGCTGGAGGAGGAGAAGAGATGAGTTCTCTCTCTCCCTCTCCCTCTCTCTCTCTCTCTCTCTCTCCCTCTCTCCTCTCTCTCCCTCTCTCCCTCTCTCTCTCTCTCTCTCTCTCTCTCTCTCTCTCTCTCTCTCTCCCTCTCTCCCTCTCCTCTCTCTCTTTCTCTCTCTCTCTCCCTCGCTCTCTTTCTCTCCCTCTATCTCTCTCCCTCCTTCTCTCCCTCCTTCCCTCTGTGCCCCCCAGCTAAGCACTGCCATATTGACTTGGCAAGGACAACAGTGGGCTCTCTGTTTGTAGAGGAATGTGCTGTATGCTGTCTGTCTGTCCGTCTGTCTGTCTGTCTGTGCACCAGACACTAGCTAGCCCAATACAGCAGTGTAGCTGGAAAGGGAAGGCCTCTGCTAAGCACTGCACCCAACCTGGCGCTGTCTCTCTATTGGAATGAGAGAGAGGGAGGGAGAGAGAGAAGAGAGAGGGAGAGGGAGAGAGAGAATGTGTGAGTGTGGTTGCGTGCGGCATGCATGCCATGTGTGTGTGTCTCAAAGGTTTAGGATATGAGAGCCAAACATGCAAGTCAGAAACATGAGGCATCAAGCAAGTAGTTCAGCTAAATAATGCCTGTGTTTATATTTGATGGTAAACCATTTAAAATGGGGAACAAAGCAAACCCAGTTAGGATGATGTCTTTCAGGATATGTTGTTTTTTCCTTTTTAGGTAGCTCTGCTCTTGCTAACTAACAATTGGTAGGTAGGTCTGCAGTTGATTGTGGTTTGTGATAATCACCGACTAATGAAGCTGAATCACTGGTCGACCACACTATAGAAACCCTTTCTCTTTGTACAAGATCTCGCTATCCAACATAAAAATACCAATGTTCTGTAATCTCGTTGTGGTGCATATCTGTGACCCAAAGTGGAAATTTACTGCAAGTTGGGCCTCATTTAGGGAGTCTGATGTTAATAGCGTAGAGTTGTATCCATTGTAGTTACATGATGGGTGTGTTTCTTTTGTTTGTGTGTGTGCGTGTGTGTGTGTGTGCGTGTGTGTGTTTGTGTTTATGTATCCAGGCGAAGGGCTTTGAGCTGGGTTACCTGGAGAAGGTTCCGGAGGTAAAGGACACGGTTCATAAACAGTCTCTACTGCACCATGCCTGTTCCATCGTGGTGGAGAAGTTTCCAGACAGCTCAGACCTCTACTCAGAGATAGGAGCCGTCACGCGCTCGGCTAAGGTACGCCTGGGATTGCCTTGGTATAAAGGACTAAATTATGTTTATCCTTGTAAACCATTTCTTGCTATCAAGCAAAACCTAGAGATTCAATCCGAACGCCCCGTTTCGACTATGCACCTTTTGCAATGTTTCCGTAGAGACCACATTCACGGTAAACGCTGCATATGTCGGCTCAATCGGAAATTACCTTTAAATTTAAGTTGTGTTATCTATAACTCGGATGTTCTGCAGTCCGGATTGAACCTGTCATACATCATTGAGTTTATGTCCATGTAGGCAGCTTTAGGTGTTACTCATTAATAATGACGGTTGCTTGTATCAAATCCAAAATGCCATCTCCTGCCGTTGTGCAGCTTGAGAAAGGCACTTAGCCTAACCCCTAAACTAATCCAGGGACAATAAAGTAATCTTCTTCTCTGTCATGTTTGTTCTCAGGTGGACTTCGACCAGCTCCAAGACAACCTGAACCAGATGGAGCGACGCTGCAAAGCATCGTGGGACCACCTCAAGGTCATCGCCAAGCACGAGATGAAGCCTGCGCTCAAACAGAAGATGTCCGACTTCCTAAAGGACTGTGCAGAGAGAATCATCATCCTGAAGATCGTCCATCGGAGAATTATCAACCGGTATGATTATAGTGAAGGTTCTTCTGATGCATTCTTTTACCTAGTTGAAATATCATCCAACGTAGCTTCGACCCCATTTGTTTCTCCAGAGAGAGACCATCCAACGTTGCTTCGACCCCATCTGTTTCTCCAGAGAGAGATAACGGTGCAATATCTGACAGCGTAAACTCCAATGTAATGTCATCATGTTTTTTTTTCTCTCTCTCTCTCTACGTCTTGCAGGTTCCATGCCTTCCTGTTGTTCCTGGGCCATCCAGCCTACGCTGTGCGGGAGGTCAGCATCCACCGCTTCAGTAAGATCCTCAGTGAGTTTGCCCTGGAGTACCGGACCACGCGGGAACGCGTCCTGCAGCAGAAACAGAAGAGGGCCAACCACAGAGAGAGGAACAAGACCAGAGGAAAGATGATCACAGATGTGAGTGTTGTTCACCTAACAGGCCTGGTCATGGGAAGTGGGCCAAATGGCACCCTACTCCCTAAATAGTGCACTACTTTTGACCAGGGCTCTGCTAAAAAATGATGCACTATAAAGGGAATAGGGTGCCATTAAGGACGCAGACCTTGTATATTTAAACGCTTTTAGTCCCTTGTCTCTTTGTCCTTTGTCCTTGTTCTCCTGTCTTCTCCTGTCTTCTCCCGTGTTCTCCTATCTTCTCCTGTGTCCTCCTGCGTTCGCCTATCTTTTCCTGTGTTCTCCTGTGTTCTCCTATCTTCTCCTGTGTTCTCCTATCTTCTCCTGAATTCTCCTGCGTTCTCCTGTCTTCTCCTGTCTTCTCCTGTCTTCCCCTGCGTTCTCTTCAACTAAGACTCTCTCAATGTCTTTCTTCAACTTCCTCATTCTCATCCTGAGGTTTTCATACCTGCTCACTCTCCAAACCCGTGGCCACAGGTCACCCCAGACAATGCATTAATTTCCAATGACGTCAGCATAGTTTCATACATCCAATACAGTGATTGGTTACTGTAACAATAATCAGTGATCTATTTCCAATGTATCCTCTTGTAAAACAGCAGGACTGATCCCCTCCTCGCATTCCTACTCCTCTTCCTTATACCCATCCTCCTACCCCTCCTGCTCCTCTTCCCTCTCCACCTCCTCCTCCTCCTCCTCCTCCTCCTTCTGCTCCCCCTCCTCCCTGTGTGATGATTAAACTCCCTCCAGCCCAGAGGGGCCTGCAGCCGGCTGTAGGAGGGAGATGGAGCAGCACTCCAGGGCCTGTTGTCCTTGGTGGGGTTCCCCTCCAGTTCAAGAGCACCCTAATTCAATCACTGTGTGAAAAATTCAAACCTTTGGAAGTCCCTGCAGCAGAAATATCTAGCCCACAGCGTGATCACGCTGGTCTTACAGGGAGGAGCGGAGCACAGTTGTGTGGTCGTCATACCCGTTGGTGAATTTGTGGACCATAAAAAGTATTAAAAAGACTAAACATGTTTTAATAGCCGACAGCAGGTTTTAGATAACCTCCTCACACATCAAAGACATTTACACAATAGAACATTCCTCATTTTATTTTCATATTTCTGCTCATTCTGTTTGACTATGACGCCTCCAGCACATGCCTAATATTCACATTTTAGTCATTTAGCAGACGCTCTTATCCAGAGTGACTTACAGTTAGTGAGTGCATACATTTTCATACTGGCCCCACCGTGGGAAACAAACCCACAACCCTGGCGTTGCAAGTGCCATGCTCTACCAACTGAGCTACAGGGGACCATTAACATCTCCTTGTATGTGTCTTCCTCTTCATTTCATCTTCATCCTGTTCCTCTGTAGAGTGAGGATGAAGAGGACGGTGAGGTATGGGTGTGTGTGTGTGTGTGAAAGTGCGAACAGGTGCATGTGTGTGTGTACTGCCAAATCTTTGAGTTGTTATTGAGTCCTACTAGAATGTAACTCTACTAACGGGCAACATAAAAATACAAAAACATCTACTAGATTTAGTATTTACAGTCTTTACGGTATTTACTGAATACTAGAGGTGCTCCCAAATGGCACTCTATTCTACTGCACTGTTGGAGCTAGGAACACAAGTATTTAGCTAGGTATTACTGCACTGTTGGAGCTAGGAACACAAGTATTTAGCTAGGTATTACTGCACTGTTGGAGCTAGGAACACAAGCATTTAGCTAGGTATTACTGCACTGTTGGAGCTAGGAACACAAGCATTTAGCTAGGTATTACTGCACTGTTGGAGCTAGGAACACAAGTATTTAGCTAGGTATTACTGCACTGTTGGAGCTAGGAACACAAGCATATTACTGCACTGTTGGAGCTAGGAACACAAGCATTTAGCTAGGTATTACTGCACTGTTGGAGCTAGGAACACAAGCATTTAGCTAGGTATTACTGCACTGTTGGAGCTAGGAACACAAGCATTTAGCTAGGTATTACTGCACTGTTGGAGCTAGGAACACAAGCATTTAGCTAGGTATTACTGCACTGTTGGAGCTAGGAACACAAGCATTTAGCTAGGTATTACTGCACTGTTGGAGCTAGGAACACAAGCATTTAGCTAGGTATTACTGCACTGTTGGAGCTAGGAACACAAGCATTTAGCTAGGTATTACTGCACTGTTGGAGCTAGGAACACAAGCATTTAGCTAGGTATTACTGCACTGTTGGAGCTAGGAACACAAGCATTTAGCTAGGTATTACTGCACTGTTGGAGCTAGGAACACAAGCATTTAGCTAGGTATTACTGCACTGTTGGAGCTAGGAACACAAGCATTTAGCTAGGTATTACTGCACTGTTGGAGCTAGGAACACAAGCATTTAGCTAGTTATTACTGCACTGTTGGAGCTAGGAACACAAGCATTTAGCTAGTTATTACTGCACTGTTGGAGCTAGGAACACAAGTATTTAGCTAGGTATTACTGCACTGTTGGAGCTAGGAACACAAGCATTTAGCTAGTTATTACTGCACTGTTGGAGCTAGGAACACAAGCATTTAGCTAGGTTATTACTGCACTGTTGGAGCTAGGAACACAAGCATTTAGCTAGGTATTACTGCACTGTTGGAGCTAGGAACACAAGTATTTAGCTAGGTATTACTGCACTGTTGGAGCTAGGAACACAAGCATTTAGCTAGGTATTACTGCACTGTTGGAGCTAGGAACACAAGCATTTAGCTAGGTATTACTGCACTGTTGGAGCTAGGAACACAAGCATTTAGCTAGGTATTACTGCACTGTTGGAGCTAGGAACACAAGCATTTAGCTAGGTATTACTGCACTGTTGGAGCTAGGAACACAAGCATTTAGCTAGGTATTACTGCACTGTTGGAGCTAGGAACACAAGCATTTAGCTAGGTATTACTGCACTGTTGGAGCTAGGAACACAAGCATTTAGCTAGGTATTACTGCACTGTTGGAGCTAGGAACACAAGCATTTAGCTAGGTATTACTGCACTGTTGGAGCTAGGAACACAAGCATTTAGCTAGGTATTACTGCACTGTTGGAGCTAGGAACACAAGCATTTAGCTAGGTATTACTGCACTGTTGGAGCTAGGAACACAAGTATTTAGCTAGGTATTACTGCACTGTTGGAGCTAGGAACACAAGCATTTAGCTAGGTATTACTGCACTGTTGGAGCTAGGAACACCAAGCATTTAGCTAGGTATTACTGCACTGTTGGAGCTAGGAACACAAGTATTTAGCTAGGTATTACTGCACTGTTGGAGCTAGGAACACAAGCATTTAGCTAGGTATTACTGCACTGTTGGAGCTAGGAACACAAGCATTTAGCTAGGTATTACTGCATTGTTGGAGCTAGGAACACAAGCATTTAGCTAGGTATTACTGCACTGTTGGAGCTAGGAACACAAGCATTTAGCTAGGTATTACTGCACTGTTGGAGCTAGGAAACACAAGCATTTAGCTAGGTATTACTGCAACTGTTGGAGCTAGGAACACAAGCATTTAGCTAGGTATTACTGCACTGTTGGAGCTAGGAACACAACATTTTATTTGATTGATTTGATTTGATTGTATAGGGAATAGGGTGCCATTTGGTTAGGGGTTAGGGGTTAGAGGTTAGGTTTAGAGTTAGGTTAGGGGTTAGGGTTAGGGTTAGGGGTGTGTGTGTGTGTGCGTGTGCATGTGTGTGCATGCATGCGTGCTTCCTTATCAGTGTGTGTGTGTGTGTGTGTGTGTGTGTGTGTGTGGAAAGGTAGGCTATGGAAGTTCTGTTCACTGCAAGTCCACAGGCAAGGGAAGCAGGGTAGGCCAAACTCAAACCAGACCCCAGGAGGTCAGAATCCACAGACAAGCACTTCCTGATAGAACCTAATCCTGGGTAATAGACCTCATGAGAACCAGAGGTTCATCTCTTAAAACCCAATGAGGTCCACATGAGAGCCTGAGTCCCAAATGCCACCCTATTCCTTATACAGTATAGTGCACTACTTCTCACCAGAGTACTTATCAAAAGTAGTGCACTATAAAAGGAATGGGTGCCATTTGGGATGAATCCACAGCCTGCTGACCAGGATCAGGTTATACAGCTCTGTTTGTTCTATAATGGAACCAAGATGGCTCTCACCGTCAACAGGGAAGAAATCAGCAGGTTTCAATACAGATGGTTAGGTTTTACTTCACTGTATGTAATGTAAAGGTTCATACGACAGTTGTCACATAGCACTGATAACTTAGGTCTAAGTACTGTTAACTTATGACTAATAAGTTATGACAAAGACATGTGTTGAATGGTTTTTTGAGTGTGTGTTTTTGTTGGGGTGGGGTTATTGGTTTGTTTGTTGTTGGTTTGTTACAGATACTAAATAAATATGGCTTCTGTTTGTGGGATACAATTTTAAAAAGTGCACGCAGCATGTGACCGTTTAAATATAGCTCCCAAACTGTTGGTTGGGAGAATACTGTACAGAACTGTGATTAACCCAGAATGGATTTGTATGCTGTTGTTTTCTAATTGTTTCAGAGTGCTGTTGATGGTGCCAGAGAATGATGACCAATTGAACCATTTTAATACATAGATTTAGGAAGTTTCATCTCTAACCTAGCTCTTCTCTCCTCCTCCACCCCACAGGATGGAAAGTTTGGCGGTAGCGCCCCGGGGCCTGTAAGCCAGGAGGGTGTGCTGCCGCAGGGTCTGCAGTATGCAGAGGATGCAGCAGAGCATGAGAACATGAAGGCAGTGCTGAAGAGCAGCTTGCAGGGCTGCAGTGAGAGTGGAGCGTCCACCGTGCCTGGTCTACGCACACGCACCAGAGCCAGCAGACCAGGTCAGTCTGACGGTCCACCACCTTCACACAACTCCTGGAAAAAAGGGAAACTTCTGAAGGACTTTTTTTTTTTTACAACCGCCAGCTCCACTACACATGAGGTTGATCCTGTCTGTCTGTCCTTCTCCTCTCTCCTTCTCTCCTTGTCTTCTCTCCTTGTCTTCTCTCTTCTCCTCTCCGTTTCGGGAGCCTGCTCGGAGCTCTCAGTCCCTTCTCGAGGTGCCTCCTTACTTACAATCGCTCCTCTCTCTTCTCTCTCTGTCTCTCCTGTCATCGAGAAGGTCTTCTCTCCTTGTCTTTATCCATTATCTCTCCTTCTCTCATCTCTCCTTTCCTCCTAAGTTCCTTTCTTAGATAAGGTCTCTCCTGTTCTCGACTCGTCTCCTTGTCTTCCTCTCTCTGCCTCTCTGATCTTCCTCCCTTCTCTCCTCTTCTTTCTCTCATTTCTCTCCTGTCTCTCTCCTCTCCTTGTCTTCTCTCCTTCTCTCCTAGGCCGTGTGGGTCCATGGGGCTCATCAGTGATCGATGACCCACCCAATTGCACAGAGACAGACGCTGCAGACGAGATCATGGAGCGCATCGTCAGGTCAGCCACTCAAGGGCCCAGGACACGGATAGAGCCTCGGGAGAGGAAGAGGTCCAGAGCCAACCGCAAGTCACGTGAGTCAGAGGGCCTTTTTACACTAACAAAATATTTGAAGTAAGAGTTGCCTTTGTTTGACATCAGATTTGAAACTTTTCTTTTTAAAGTATCCTTACATTAGCTTTGGATGTGGTGTGGCCAAAGGTTTAACTGCCTCCGACATCTAATTGTGGATATTTCTGTCAGTGTTAATGCACACTATCTTATTTTCCAGCATCACCTGAGGAGTGATACAGTTCAACACAACACTAACAACACACTGCTACAGTAAATACATCCAGTTCTATTAAAACCTCTTCATGACTCCTGTCCTCCCCTCTCTCTCTCTCTCTCTCTCTCTCTCTCTCTCTCTCTCTCTCTCTCTCTCTCTCTTCTCTCTTCTCCTCTCTCTCTCTCTCTCTCTCTCTCTCTCTCTCTCTCTCTCTCTCTCTCTCTCTCTCTCTCTCCCCCTCTCTCTCTCTCTCCCCCTCTCCCTCTCTACAGTGAGAAGAACACTGAAAACTGGTCTGACGCCAGAGGAGGCCAATGCCTTGGGGTTGTCCAGTGGTTCAGAGATGGCTGTGTGACAGGAAGAGAAGTAGAGCTGGATCCAGCAGCACAGCACACACAGAGACCTGGGAAACCCTCTTACCGCCCCGCCCTTCACTGACCCCTGACCTCTAACCCCTGCTCAACCAGCCAGCCAGTCCACTGCTGCACCATCGCTTAGCTTGGTCTTTCTCCTGGTTCAGCTTTATGATGACTGTAGCTCACCTTTCTGTCTGTGGTTTGTGCAGGTAGCTGTGACACAGTGTGCCACCTGGTTAAGATGGTAGACAATGGTCAGGAAGAGACCATGAGGATTATGGTCCTCATCCAGGATAATAGATGGTTTTCAGTGGGCAAAGTGGTATTGGTATAGGGGCAGTTAAAGGGGTTCAGTGATCCAGATGACCCAGCTCCACACACACTCAGGTAGAGTTCAGCATCCCAACCACTACACTATGCTGCTGTGCCGACTTGAGTGTTTCATGTTGTTCCTATCAGTTGTTTCTCCTAACGTTTGAATACGAGGCTGAGGTCTTTGAGGAACATCTCCCATCCCAAATGTAACTCTTAATCACTTGATGAAGCCCACAGTGACCACATGACTAGCGGTGAATCTCAGTTGTATTTCCTTGATTCCTCGTGTCTTCTATCCTCACCTCTGTCTATACAAGGCATTGGAGGACTAGATTTGAGGTTCATCCTCCCTAACCTTTTTCCTCAATTGAGATTCACCCTGTGACTGAAAGATACAAATTGAGACTTACCCACACAGAATACCTTTAGCCTCAGGACTTCTGAAGCACACATGAGTGCTTGAATCACTGTGGACTTGTGTCTGAACCCAAAAGGCCTCGGAGTTGAATAGTAAAGAAGTTAGCATTGATGCTAAAGAAGTTAGCATTGATGCTAAAGACGTTAGCATTGATGCTAAAGACGTTAGCATTGATGCTAAAGACGTTAGCATTGATGTTAAAGACGTTAGCATTGATGTTAAAGACGTTAGCATTGATGCTATCTATCCCCACTAATGATGAGCATTTGTTTATATAGAAATGGCTGTGTCCACAGGCTGTTTTGTTCTACTATACTACTGTGGTTGTTTTTGGGGGTTTTAAAATACTTTAATGCGTGAGAAGAAGGTGATCAGAGAAGGAATATTTGCACTGGATGTAGAAGTTGGATATTTAGAGGAAAGGAATGTGAAATCCTTGACACACACTGATGTACCACTCAGATATATGAATTTAAAAAATACACCAGATAGAACCAGCAATGAAACAGTAGCACAGTTGATTATACCATCTAATTTCTGAGGAATAGTGAACAGATTCCATTGACTTTTGCAAACAAAAATGTGTCACATATGTTGCATGTTGTTGATTAAGTTGGATTTTACGCAGATGGAACAAACTGGAATTCCAAGAGGACACGCCATGATGTGTTGAGGGAAAGTATAATTTGCTACATACAATTGAATTACTGTATTCCACTTTTAAAAAACACATAACATATCAGAGTCATCAACTTTGGTAAGAACAGTCTGTGATTTGACAAGTGTACAGAAGGGACGATGCTACTGGGTCCAGACAGACTGATATCTGTCAATCACGCGTAGCGAATGTTACAGCTTTAACCTATAGGCCTACCTACAACATACATGTTCAAGCTTTAGCCTCTAGGCCTGCCTAGTACCTACAATTACACGTGTTGCATGCATGACACCAGTGTTACGCAAGCTCTTGCTGTTGTTTGCTGCAGGACATTTCTTCTATGCTTGAAACATACTTATTGTAGGGTGTTAGATCTGACAGGGAGATATATTTACACTAGTTACATGTACATACTCTCTCTTTAGGCAACATTTAAGAATAGAAAAAAAGTAAGAGATTAATAATTGGTTATTCTAGAAAAACTTAATGAGCTTCAACTGAATGAGTGCCTTTTATAGACAAGTATATTTATTCAGTCATGTTCAGGGAGATATTTGTTACAGAAAACATTACTGTGTGTAATGAAAGTACTTCCTCCATAGGTCAATTCAACAGCTGTGACTTCCTGTTTTCATTTGTTCCTAGATTAACACATTTCAGTACTATGTTCCATGGCTTGATGTCTTGGAAACATTTCTCTTCCATTTGAGCGTTGAAGTTGTGTTTTGGATCACAACTAAACTAGAGTTATAGCTGAGTGTCTAGAGACAATATTTCAATTTTAGCAGTTTTGTCACAAAAAAAGGTTGTACAAAAAGATATGAGTTGTTTCCATTTGCCTTAATGTAAAATTAGGGCATACAGTGGGGAAAAAAAGTATTTAGTCAGCCACCAATTGTGCAAGTTCTCCCACTTAAAAAGATGAGAGAGGCCTGTAATTTTCATCATAGGTACACGTCAACTATGACAGACAAAATGAGAAAAAACATTGTAGGATTTTTAATGAATTTATTTGCAAATGATGGTGGAAAATAAGTATTTGGTCAATAACAAAAGTTTCTCAATACTTTGTTATATACCCTTTGTTGGCAATGACACAGGTCAAACGTTTTCTGTAAGTCTTCACAAGGTTTTCACACACTGTTGCTGGTATTTTGGCCCATTCCTCCATGCAGATCTCCTCTAGAGCAGTGATGTTTTGGGGCTGTCGCTGGGCAACACGGACTTTCAACTCCCTCCAAAGATTTTCTATGGGGTTGAGATCTGGAGACTGGCTAGGCCACTCCAGGACCTTGAAATGCTTCTTACGAAGCCACTCCTTCGTTGCCCGGGCAGTGCGTTTGGGATCATTGTCATGCTGAAAGACCCAGCCACATTTAATCTTCAATGCCCTTGCTGATGGAAGTTGGTTTTCACTCAAAATCTCACGATACATGGCCCCATTCATTCTTTCCTTTACACGGATCAGTCGTCCTGGTCCCTTTGCAGAAAAACAGCCCCAAAGCATGATGTTTCCACCCCCATGCTTCACAGTAGGTATGGTGTTCTTTGGATGCAACTCAGCATTCTTTGTCCTCCAAACACGACGAGTTGAGTTTTTACCAAAAAGTTCTATTTTGGTTTCATCTGACCATATGACATTCTCCCAATCCTCTTCTGGATCATCCAAATGCACTCTAGCAAACTTCAGACGGGCCTGGACATGTACTGGCTTAAGCAGGGGGACACGTCTGGCACTGCAGGATTTGAGTCCCTGGCGGCGTAGCGTGTTACTGATGGTAGGCTTTGTTACTTTGGTCCCAGCTCTCTGCAGGTCATTCACTAGGTCCCCCTGTGTGGTTCTGGGATTTTTGCTCACCGTTCTTGTGATCATTTTGACCCCACGGGGGAGATTATCAGTGGTCTTGTATGTCTTCCATTTCCTAATAATTGCTCCCACAGTTGATTTCTTCAAACCAAGCTGCTTACCTATTGCAGATTCAGTCTTCCCAGCCTGGTGCAGGTCTACAATTTTGTTTCTGGTGTCCTTTGACAGCTCTTTGGTCTTGGCCATAGTGGAGTTTGGAGTGTGACTGTTTGAGGTTGTGGACAGGTGTCTTTTATACTGATAACAGCCTCTTAAAGAAGAAGTTACAGGTCTGTGAGAGCCAGAAATCTTGCTTGTTTGTAGGTGACCAAATACTTATTTTCCACAATAATTTGCAAATAAATTCATTAAAAATCCTACAATGTGATTTTCTGGAATTTTTTTTCTCAATTTGTCTGTCATAGTTGACGTGTACCTATGATGAAAATTACAGGCCTCTCTCATCTTTTTAAGTGGGAGAACTTGCACAATTGGTGGCTGACTAAATACTTTTTTCCCCCACTGTATACTATATCTGAACTTTCCTACACTGTTGACTTTTATTGAGGTATAGTGGTTATAGTCAGCTAGCTAGCTAGTTTTTTTAAAGTGCATAATTCCAGTTTACATTTGGAATTGTGTAGAGAGTTTCTACACAGTAACAAACATTCACTGTGATGGAAACATAGCCATTGTTGACTAAACATGAAAGAATATATGCTTGCAGCAACACAAGCCACGCCACAACATAAGTCACACACCTATATGTCTTTCTCATGGAGAACTTACAATTTGGTATGAAACTATCCAGCACCTTATACACCATTTGTAGCATGCGTCTTTTATTGAGGAAAACCAGAACATTAACAAAGTGAGAAAGTATATTCTTTCAGCCTTTTTCTCAGATGGTAATTTTGAGTATTGTAAAATTTAAAATTAAAAAAACTCAATGTACATGTAAAGTAATAATGGGGGAAGAATGCTGTAAAATGATGTAAATGTCGCAACGATGTGTTTTATGTCTTTCATTTGTTGGTATTTTGTATAGAATAGTGTATTATAGGTTTTTTTAAAAGCAGTGTTATTCTATGGAAATTGTAATTTAAGTGAAAACCAAGCCATGCATGGTTTAAAAAAAAAGTCTACAAATGTGGTGTGTCACGTTATGTTAGCGATAAAGGGAGATTCATTTGATTTGAATGCTCAGAGGCTTAGCGTTGATGTTTTATTGTTTTAACTCTGCACATGACTTGAAACACATTAGGATAGACGGAGTGATCGATGTAACCACCTAGGGCTGGATTCAATCTGTATCGCTGAAGTTCAGCGTTATAGCGTGATTGAAATGGAAAGCCAATGTTCCAGCATTAGTGTAGCATTCATGGTAAACGCTGCATATGTCGGCTCAATCTGAAATTACGCAATCTGTAACGCTTCAGCAGCCTTTGATTCCATCGCACGCAATAAAACATGGATGTGTGTCCCAAATGGCACCCTATTCCCTATATAGTGCACTACTTTTTACTAGGGCCCAGAGTCCAAAAGTAGTGCACTGTGTAGGGAACAGGGTGCCATTTGGGATGCAGCCCCATGTTGTCTCTGATTGGATATATTAGTTCCTTTTCATCCATTGCTGTACCATAACAAGTCAGTGTGGGACTTGGACACAAGCACATCCAGAATTTGTGAGCTTTTCTTGCGTCTTTGCCCTCCTCCAACAAAAACTGTATGTATGAAAATCTTGCAATAAAAAGGCTTTTAAGAAACATTCAGCGACATTGTGTGAATTTGTTGTGTGAGAAAAAAAAAGTATAATTATTTCTTAAATGTGTTCTGGTAATAACCCCAGAGCCACTACTAATAGC